CCTGCCGGATGGAGGAGCACGGAAGGACTTACACGATGAGGGAGGCCGGGGTAGTCAGGACCATCATGGTGTACATCTTGAACGCGTACCAGAAGGACAGCGCAAAGGTGCTAGGAAGCGTTAGTAAACCACATCGTCAGGTGTATACATCCTTGACTGCTTACGCATAAATGGCAAAGAAGACTGTGACAGGTTAGCAAACATCCTACATCTGAAGGAACGCCGTGGGAGTAACTCACTCAGGCCCTGCTGGAACCCAACCAGCCACGCCATGCCCGCGCCCTTCTCCCGCGACCTGTCCGCCAGCATTCCATACTTGGCCAGCATCTTGAACTCAGCGCCGCACGCCGCGAGCATCCTGATGGCGCCGAACGCCTCAGTAGCCACAGACGCGGCCTCAATGTCCATGTCCTGGACGTCCTTCAGACGCTGAATGATGGGCGGGGTGGTGAACATGTAGACGAAGAGGATGAAGACGAGCCCGGAGGCGGTGGTCAGCGTCAGCAGCCAGTTGTACGCGAAGGCGATGGTGAAGCCCGCGATGACGGTCGAGAAGGACATGAAGAAGGTGCCGATCTTCTCGGAGATGCCGAGCTGCAGCGTGCTGGCGGTGATGGTGATGATGGCGGCCGTCTGGCCCGGCGCGAGCATGTCCAGCATCGAGATGGGCAGGGCGAAGAGGGAGCGCAGGTAGGTCAGGCGGATGGCGGCGGAGATGCGGATGCTCGTCATGCGGAAGCCGAGCTGTGAGATTGTTTGTCAGTGAAGTGTGTGGTTGGGGGTTAGTGGGTGACTTACGTTGGACAGGTAGGTGAGGATCAGTCTGGCGATGAAGAGGTAGACGATGTACAGCACGCCCTGGTTGACGGTGCGCGTGAACTCTTCTTGCGTCTCCTGCGTGCCTTGCTTGAAGAAGCCAGTGAAGGTGCCGACGAGTTGTCCTGAGCTGTGTTAATTGCTGCCTCTCTGCGACAGGTGATGGTGTGTCACTCACCAAAGACGATGTTCATCACCGGCATGGTGAGACCAGCACCGATGGCACCTAATACCGACACCATGATGATGAGCTTGTCATACCATGTGCCATAGGACAAGATTCTCTGTGATATGAGTCAGTAAACGCATGTCCACACACATACATGCTAGACCAGAACAACATACGATGAAATTCCTCAGCGTCGCAACGTTCTTCGTGCTGAGCTTCCACCACGATCTCTTGGGAGCCGGTGGCGGCGCGTTGGGGTCCGTCGCGACCGCTCCGCCGGGGGCCGGTCCGGGGCCCGGAGCAGCTGCCGGCGCATCGGCAGTGCCGCCGGCCGGTGTGGCCATGATAACTGGCGGGGGTGGTAGGGGGGTGGTGGTGGTGACCGGGGTAGGTCGTGGGGTCCGATTCGACCGGGAGATGTCTTCCGATCCGGATATCTGGTGCTTCCTCTTCTATCGTAAGGTAGTACTGGCTATCCTATTATTTGTCGTTGCAGGCTATGTGGAGGAGGACGACCGGGCCATATGTGTGTGTGGGGAAGATTCTTTCTCACAAACAGGTGAAAAGCCTGGGGGCACCAGGGGGGAGAGATCGGCAGGCCGGCAGTGACAAGGGGGCAGGGGAGGTTAATGTGATGTGTGGGAGGTGTAAAGGTTCAGAGAAGCTTAGTCTTATGCGAACAACTCGCGTGTCAGGATAATTTGTCAAATGGCAGCTTTCTCTCCTTTGGGTGTTTGTTTCTCTTTCGATCCAAGGAACAAGTGGTAAATCGAGATTGTGTCGTCCCGCGGCAACAGCTGAATGGGAAACACACAGAAAAGAGAGTTCCCAACCAGGGTACCAGGGGGGGATGGGGAAAGAGTCAAGAAGATAGGAGAAAATGAGAAGAAAAAGTGAGATGAAGGTCGCAGAGTTGAGCCAGCCAGACTCACACTACACACAACGGATGTAACGCGAACGGGGGGCGAACAAGAAACCACACCCAGTGTAGACTTGACCAGACGAGACAGCAGTCGAATGGCAAGAGACCGGGGGTGGGAGAGAGAGAAGGAGAGGAGAGACTAGAGAGTGAGAGCGAGAAGGAGAACACAGAGCAAGGGTTTGGCAGAGGAGACAAGGCGGAAGGGGGATGGGGGGATGGTTGTGAAATGGGGGGACCGGCAGAAGTACACTGCAAAAGCGCCGGGAAACGGGTATCAACGAGCCACCCGAGAGGGCGACCTGCAGAAGCGGCTGTGCAGGTGCTGCTGCTGCCGCTGCGTCTGCTGCTTCTGTTGCTGATGCTGATGCTGATGCTGCATCGCCTGCTTGCGTGCGAAACGATGCGCGGAGGTGGGTTTAGGCGGGGACCCCCCAAGAAGGACGAACAGCAGCGGACACACAAGGGAAGGGAACAAAAAAACGACCTAGCGCCGAGAGAGTTGGGTTTGGGAATTTGTGAGATTTTGGGCAGCGGTGAGATGGGATTTGATGGATGGGGTGGGAGGAGCGGGCGGGCGGGCGAGCGAGAGGGAAGCCAAAGATGGGCAGAGATGGGATGAAGATGGATGGGCGGGCGAGAAGTGAGATCATGGGCAGTGGGGAACGATTTGGTTCTGCTGTGGTGGTGGTGCTTTGGGGTTGCATGCAAGAGTTATCTTGGCCACACACCCCCCAGATTATTTCTCCGAGATCATGATCACGCAACTTGTGCGTTCAACCCGCTCTCTGTATTGACCACTGCGTGCCAAGGTATATCTGCTTTGCGCGTTGGGTTGGTCCAGAGGGTGGGCTGCGGAGCGGCGGAGAGGAAGTGCGTGTAAGTCATGGTCACATATCTGCCCAGCGGTGGTGCCCTGTGTGTGGATGATTGAGAGAGCGGATTACCGCATCTCCACCCAAGCAGCAAAAAGCATAGCGAGAGCGCGTGGCGGGCAGCCAGATGGGCAGGATTTGGAGAAGCCGCAGGCAGATGAAATGGAACGGGAGGCTGAGTTTGGTGGCATGGTGTCGTTGCTCGTACTTCGTACAGCCAGCTGCACCCTTCGCTCGGTTCTTGGTTCGGTCTTGGGAAAGTGGAAACGAGTAAGGAACGGACGTCGTTTCTTCTTCTTCTGTTTTACCCGTGTGATGTAAAGATGAAACGGGGGGGCAGCACGCCGTGGTAGCGATTGATGGTTTACCTTACCTGAGGGTAAAAGGTACGGAGTGACTTTACTTGGAGAGGCGTTGATTGGGGGCAAGCGTGCATGTGCTTCTCCTTCTTCGTCTTCTTCATTGCTTCTCCCTAACCCGTTTGGCCCCGCTCTCTGGTGCATTTCTGTTACCACCCTCGCGCCTCTCGGAAATAAAATAAAAAATGTCTTGGGCTAATTCATTCTAGCAACCTTCTCTCGGCATTTTCCCTGTGCGTCAAAGCGGCTGCAGTACATATTACCTGAGGCGTCATACCTATGGGAGGTTTTGCGTCTACCCACATATGCACGTCGGGGGGTTTTGGCCCTGGTCCTGGGACAGGGATCGCCCGTGCGGGAGGAATGGGCCCCCTGCCTTGCACCTTTCCCACCCACTCTTCTCTCTGCTGCGCTTCCCGGAGCTGGGCCTTCCTGGGGGCGCGTTTTGGGATTTGTGTGCCAAGGGTTGGTAGGTGTGCAACCGCGCAGAGCAGGAAATGTCGACGGAGAAGTGACAGAGGGAGGTCTGGGGCAAAGCCAGGACACGCATGTTTTGCGAATCAAGACAGGTTCAACGACAAATCATGTCCATGGCAGGGCAATCCCCTCTCCCCCCTCCCCACCCTCTTGCTCCCCCAGTCCCTCCATCTCTGCTGTCTACCCGCCTGTCTTTTCTGTGGCACTCCCGTTTCCTGCTGATCCATCCCTAAATAGGTAATTTCATGTAAAGGACGGTTTTTTTTTCATCTTGTGTTTTGGAAATATACCAAGTCATGATATTAGCAACGAAAAACATAGGAGAGAGCAACAACCGAAATAAGTTGGAGTTTGGAAACAAACACCTGGTTCGCGGAGGGACTTTGACGATTGGCTGGAATACAACAGCAAGAAAACAAGAGGCGAACCACTAAGTTGTCCCGAGGATACACATGTAAATCGGCTGCTCTCACGCTGCGTCTTGTATGCTATCTTGTGAGGTGGCCAATGTTCATTCTTTGGTCTCCACACTCGGATACACACGGGCGTGTTCGAGGAAGATCATGTGGTTCATTTTGTCCCTGTCCTCAATCGCACGGCCCATTTGTTTTCCTCGCCACAGGATTTGACATCTTGGTGAGAGCACTTGATGCGCGGGCGTTGGTTGGGGCTTGGGTCGTTGATTGACACTTGACATAAGGGGGCCAGCCGTCGGTCAATTACCTGCGGAGGACGTTTCTACCGGATCATGCATTTATGCGTCCGCCTCCTGTCCACCGATATTCAAATCGCAATTGGGCGGGCAAATAGGCGCATGGCAAGCAGCAGGTGGGTTATTTGACATGTTTGACGGCTGGAACACCTGTCAAATAATTCAGAAGAGGGAATTGCCCATCTAGATTCAGGTGATTGTATTTTTCTCGGCTTCTGTCTAAGTCTGGGATGTGTGACATTGCCAGCATTGGGCAGCTTTGTAAAACGACAACCAAAAACAAGATGTGGCCGCCACTTGGTGAATGGTAGGCGGCTGCACCATGATTTGCGAAATAGAAAACATGTCGAAAAAACATAAAACCATGCAAAACCCAAAAAATAGTAATCCAAATCATTTCATCATCATGACCCGACTCCAGCAGGCTCCCCTGGAATATGCGACCCACGACACCGCGAACCCCTTCTATCTAATGCTTGCCGCCACACACACACACAAACACATACGGGCGCGGGAAGAGATAGGAAACCAGCCCCTTGACACTTTCCTGTCTTGCCCTGCAACCCAAAAATAAGGCACAAAACAACCTTGAGCGATGCTTTCGATGCTAAATTATCCGGAAATACTCCTCTGGCCGGGATGCCCCGGTCTGCGGAGACGCCACAACATGCGTTTATTGCAACAGACCCTCCTCGATCATGTCAGCCTTCGTCTCGCGGACAATGTCGCCGAGCTCCTTGATCGTGTCCTTGTCACGGGGAAGGGTGTGACCCTTGGCGTGGTCGAACAGGTAGGCGGTGTCAGGGTCGCACATGTTGTACAGAGCCATGGAGCCGTCCACGTAAGGATCCAGGGATCCGACTAAAAATGGGATCGTCAGCAAATCCACCCCGCGCTTCTGTGCCTAACCATGATGATCCGCAATAACGTATCATCATGGCGATCATAAGAAGAACTCACTGATGTGAAGGGTCCGGGCCTCGATCCTCTCGTCGGACTCGTCAGACAATACGAGAGCGTGAGACTTGGGGTCAACCGGGGGCCAGCCGGCGAAGAAGATGCCGTACTTGAAGGCCGGCTTTTGGCCGGAGCGCTTCAGCCGGCGCTGCTCGTAGAGCATGAACGTCGAGGCCACAGTGGCACCCTCGGAGTACCCGATGATGCCGTCAAAGGGGCCGCGCTTCTGGACAATCTCGCTGATGTACTTGATGGCCCTGTCGGTGCTGCGATGCGTCGTTGCGATACCCTCCCTCATGAGTTCTCTCATGGTGTCTTCCGGGCTCTCGCATTGGGGGAAGTCGCGGATACGGGCGAGAACGTCGTCGCTGTGAGTCTTCTCGACGTCCTTGTCGGGCTCGATGAAGCGGTAGTAAGGCGGGGCGCCGAAGTAGTCCTCAAAGCCCGGAGGCGGGACGGCCTTGCAAGGGCCATGAATGAAGTGGAACTGTGCCGTGCCGTCCTCAGAAAGCTCCTTCAGGATGGGGGCTGTGAGAAGTGTCAGTACATAAGTTGCCTGTCATTGATGAAGCCGGTCGCGATGGTCTCGTGTGGCTTGCAGTGACAGACTCACCAAGTTGTACTTGGAATTTCTAGCGCGATCGTTAGTGAGTGAGCCATAGATCGCTGGGATTTTAGTACTCACGTCCGAGCTGCCATAGGCACCGGGAAGGCAGAGAAAGCGCATCGTAGGCATGGTGAAAGACGGCTAGCGTGACTTGATTGACAGCTGAACCGAGCGAGAGGGCGTCCAATAACAGATGGACTAAAAAAGACGAGGTGTATGATATATGAAAGGTCGTCTGGTAAATATTTGTGGGCTGCGATTCTGTGAAGATGCGAAGGATGATGATGATGAATCAGCGAGCTGCAAAGATGGGATTAAAGATGAGAATGATCTGGCCAAAGGGGAGCGTTTTAATCAATTTGATGCTATCTAAACAGTGGCCGTAGGATGATGACCGGGCGTAGATGAACGGGCTGTCGGCTCATGAAGCAATCATCAGCTCAGACAGGCAATGAGACGGCGCGCAGCTGTAGACGCGGGACGATGACAAGACAGGAGGAGGCTGAGTTGGATCCATCCGCTCCCAAAGCTGGAACGCAAGCAACTCAAATCGACCGAAACCCGAGAGCGAATAAGGAAATTGTGAAACTCTGCACCTCATCAAGATTGCGGCAGGGGACGTGGAGTCGGTACCTTGCCGCGCAGAGGATGGGACCAGCATACACAGGTACAGGCACAGGAAACGGGACGGTTTGTGGTGGGTTGAAACTGGCGCGCTGCGTTGCTTGAGGAGCTCCTGAATGATGTCGTCCTGCTTGCAGCAGCAGTAGCAGCAGCAGCAGTGCCGCCACACCTGCTGGAGAGTGGATGAGAGGGGCGAGGATGGACGACGAGTGGATAAGTTGGGGTGAGGTATGAGACCGGGCCTGTGGGCGTCGGTCCATGAGACGGGCTTGGCTAGGTGGTGGTCCGGCCCCCAGGTGGATGTCGAAGAAACTGGACGAGGATATGTGGGCAGCGAGAGTCAGACTGGGGGGCGAAACAAGCGCCGGGAGACGCCACGCCACATGGAAGGAATCGAGGAACGTCTGTCGGTGGGCTTCTCTGCAGGAGGGCGAGACGTTTGGCAGTTGATTTGGCAGGCCATCAAAATTGGCAGAGGTGGCAGCGGGCCAGAGCCTAGGGCAGGGTCTGGGCATCCCGAGATCCGAACCCTCGGTGGACGAGGCGGTGGTGATGCACTGGTGCAACCGATGACATGCTGATGGCAGTGACTGGGCTTTGGACTTGGACGGCGGTCCGGTGTGCTGTCACCTTGTAAGCTTGAAACGGGATAAGGAAGTGCCCGCGCGGGGGCGCAGTGGGTGTGTGTGACGGCTTGTCTATCTGACTGGAAGGACGAGCGAGATGTGCAATGAGATGGGTGGGCGGCAGAGGGAGAGGGCGCAAGGGCAGACGACGAATGGCGGGCATGGGTTGGACGAGGGCGATGTGTATGTGTGTGTACGTGCGTACATGAGGGCGAGTGAGCGTGGAATCCGTGGATTGCGGATGAGTGAGGGAGATTGGGCGAGTGGGTGGCTGGGGCGATTGAGCGGCGAGCGTAGGAGTAGGCGCGTGTGTTTGCAGAGAAGAAACATTGTTTTGCAAAGATGCGTTTCTTCGGAACGACCGTTCGCTGACTTGCAGAAAAGATGGACAAGTTGCGTCGATAGTTGGAGGCTAGGCCAGGTACCGGGACCCCTGCAAGATCTACGAAGACGGCGTTTGCCGGGATATCCCTTTGGAGCGGTTCGTGTTAGCAACGACTGATCTTCAGGAAGCGCAGCGCAAGGCAAGGCAAGGCAAGACAACGCAAATTTGGAGGAGTTGGGCTGCAGGGACAAGGGCCAGGGCATTCGTGGTGCTGGCGCGTGTCAAATAAGAGCTTTGATGGTGTAACGGCACGGGTAGAAGTGCGACGGGCGCTTGTGATTTGGAAGCTGCCAAAGCTTTCTGACAGAAGCAGTTTTAGAAACACCCTCAATGCCTTGGGCTCCTTGGGGTTCCTTCCATTGATTGGGGGTTCTGGGATAGGGCAAGGTCGACTTGAGTCCGAAACCGACCAACTTGACTCGCTGGTGGATGGATGTTGTTGCGTTTGTAGTGGGTTGGCGGCAAAAAGAAGATGTGATGAGGATCGATTGACGTTACGAGAAAACGAGGTCAGGTGGGCGAAGATGAGTGCACCGTGACGTTATTGGCGATATGCATATTGGCGTAGAGTGGACATGTCTCAAACGGTGCATCGCATTAGCAGATACCAGGATAAGAGAAGTGGGTACCTGCCTTGCCTTCCCGGGGGCCAGATCCACTGGCGATAAGCATTTTTTCTGCCTCACCACGCGGTGGTGGTGCACTCAGGGTCAGAAACACCCACCTCACCTGTGGTGTAGCGTCACACTGAGTGCGGGTGACACCGCAGGTGGAGACGCTCACCTTACCTCGACTTCACCCGGTGCCTCGGTGAAAGCGGAGGTGACCTAATCGGGAGACAGATGCGACCATTCCTTTTTCGAACGGCGGCGCAGGACCAAGACCCAAGACCAACATCCAAGACCTGCATTGCACACCAGCACCAGTTGGTTGGTTGCACCGGACCTGCAGCCGTTCGCACTATGGTTCCTGGCCTCGGCTCTTTCTCTTTGCTTATTGGGCGCCGACTCTCGAGTAATTAGCCGCACCGTTCTTGCATTCTGTATGTACGCACCGTGGCACCACCCCTGGAAGAAGTCCCCCACTCTATCCCGATCGTCTCTGCAACCGCCGTCATTCTGTGGCAGTCCTGGGTCATGTAAAATGGTGCTCGACCTACATTCACCTAAGGTGCTAAGTTGGGTGATTGAAGATGCGATAGGCGGCATCGCCCGGGCGGCAGACAGGCAGCCAGGATATGGCAAGAACAGACGCTCTGCTTGACGCCTTTCGCCGCCGCTATTGCGATTGTCGGTGCTTTTGACACAAGACACACTCTTTTCCAAACAGAACAACAAACGAGCGCCGATGTCCAGACCAAGAAGACAGAAAAACATCCAGTGTGAGTGCGGACGAAGAAACAAGCACCGCCTCCTTGGTTGGCCCTGCATTTCCGCCTCCTGCATCTCTCACGGAATCAAGCAGAGTTCCAGCAACTGCAGCACCGTCTGCAGTATCATGACCGGATGATGGCAGCCTGGAGTCTTGCACATCAGAGATCCCCAATCTTGGCCTCCGTTCTTTGGGGCGCAGGCATAGAAAGCAGAGACGGCCTTGCATCTCCTGCTCACTGCGCCCCATCATCTCGTCTTCGGGCAGCTTTGAAGTGAGGGACTTGGGACACTGGGGCGCGCAGGATCCTCTTCATCCTTCTCCTTGGGACTGTCGTGTTGTTTTATTGGCTCGCCACGACGGCGGGAATCTCCATATCGCCAGACATCGGCCTCATATCCCCCCAAATAGCTCACCCGGTATTTCCCAAAGTGCCAGTGTGCAGCCATGCACACCTTACCTAATCACCCATGAGGTTCAAAGTGTTCCATGGCAGTGAATCGTGATAGGTAGGTAAATGGACGTTAGTAAGGGCAGAGGTCAGGCACAGGTTGGACGCAGGGTTGGCCGTTGTTTGGTGCACCAAGTGAGGGTGCCTGCCCGCCGGCCCGCAAAACCGAGTCCAAGGCTCTGTTCTGCTCTGCGCTGCGCTTGCTGCTGCCCAGTCCAGTTGCTGACACCGGCGCAGTGTTCAGGTACTGCACGCACTATTTGCGCTGTTCAGAGTGCACCTCAGCATCTGGGTAACGGCAGCAACGCACTTGTGCCGGGGCAACACTGCTGCTGAGATGCTCCACTTCGGCCATGGCTCAGTGTGCTGGCCCCCAAATGCCCAGCGTTCAAGGCCCCAGTGCCTCTTTTCAGTGGGTCGCCCTTGGCTCCTCTGGATGGATGGCCCCACTCCGGCATCTGGACCCGCTTACCTCATCTCCAAGCTCCGGGGGACCAGCACCAGCACCCAGCACCAACACCAATACGAACAAACACCAACACCAAACCAACCAGCACACGCATCGTAAGCTGGGTCTTCGCCCTCCACCACCTCACCTCCGAACCACGCCACCGGGCCCCCGTCCGGGAGGTTCGAGGGTTCATTGCGCTCCATGTCTTGGTCCGAGTCAAACGTCCGTCTTTCTGCAGCCTGCGTCTGAATGCGCGCAGATGCACGCCAGTCGACCTGTCTTGCAGTACTGCTGCTCAATTGCAAACAAACTAAGGCACAATCCGACAGCCGTTCCATCAAAGACAAACCGTTCTTGCAGCCCTGCGCTCTCTCTCGTCCAGTCGCCTCTCGTCGCCTCTTCGCCTGTACTCGACAGTCCTCGCTCTGCACCCCCCGAATCGAGGTTACCGATTGGCCCTGCAGATGTACCTGGATCAGCCTGCTTGCTTGCTCTCGCTATGTGCCCAGAGACCAGCCAGAGACAGACAGCCTCCAGCTCCGGTGACCTCCCTCCGCCGGTAAAACCGTCCCCGGAAAAGGTTCCTCGGGCGAGATGAGCTGATGTGGGATCCTCAGCCCGCAGTGGCCAACAAATCCCGTTAAGACGCATAATCAGTTCATCGAAGTTGCTTTTGGCCGAAATGACTGTACACCCAGGAACAGAGACAAGACATGGAACCAGCTTCTCGCCCGCCCGGCGCAGCGACCACCTCCCTGCTCCCTGCTCCTAGAGGATGAGGGGGGAGGCGACGTCGTGGCCAGCAAGGTGTGCCGCTGCTCCGCTGCTCCGGCCCTACATGGACTGCCCGGCATCGGATGTGCCCTGGCATCTCTCCGTGGATGCTCCAACTACACCAGACGCTGCATACATTCCATGCAACACGAGTACCTCTCTGCCACCCGTACGCCGTACGCAGTACACACTACTATGCGGCGGCCAATATGCACGTTCGGGATCTCCCTATGATCTACCTAACCGTCAGGCAAATCTAAATCACACAGGCTAGTCTGTGCGAAGAACTCCGGCCGACTTGGCGATCTGATCACCAACCAGTCCCTTCCATGTCAACTCACCCGCGACGGAGCGAGCACCATGATTCTTCCCCATGCCGTTCATCAGCTAAAAAGCCTACAAAGAATCCCAACCGGGACCATTACAGAACATTCGTCACACTCACTC